AACTGCAATGCTCGAAGCATAAAACATAAAGGAATGACCTTTAAGTTAGTCCTTCAAGTTAGTTTGCCTTCTGAAATTTGCCCTAAAACTTACTTTCGAATTATTTAAGTGCTTTTGTAATCAATTATCCTCAATTAAGATCAAGGATGTCTTTGATATAACTGTAATTCTACATTATCTTTATAACTATTAATGAAAACTTAACCCATTATAAAAATAAGATTGCTACATAAGATATCTCAATAGCTAAATGATTAAAAATAAAATTCAATTATTATTTTATTTATATTTTAACATTTTATTGACTCATTTTATAAGTGATATTTTTTTTTTTACCTAATTTTGTTTTGTCAAATTTTACTTAAAATAAAAAGTTAACTTTGATGTTAGCCTTGTATCATTGAAAATATATAGGTTGTTCCTCCTAGGTCTTCCAATAAAATAAGAAAAGTTAACATTAATAGAGAAATTCCAATTAAGGCTTAAGGTAAGCAGGGGTGGAGGCAGAAATTTTTTTCGGGGGAGCAAAATACTAAAATTTTCAAAGTTTAAAGGAGGTTAAATAATTTTTCATATACTAATTTACAAAATTTTCAAATTTCAGGGAGGGCGAGCGCCTCCCCTCGCACCCCCTGGCTCCGCCACGGTTAAGGATCCTTAACGAGTATTCGATGGAAAAGGCAAACTAAGTTCAAGGGCTAATTAGCATATTAAAAGAAGTTCAAGGACTCATTAAAGGATTAACCCAAAACAAAAAGTAGAAATTTTGCAGCAGATGACAGTGACACACTCACCACCACCGCACCAAATTAGCTGCGGTTGCGTTTCATGTAGGCTGGCAAACATGCAGGTTGGTTGGGTCGGGTTCAGATTTGATCAATTTGGGTGATAGATTATATTGGTAAGGTTGAAAATGGGTTATGAGTTAAAAAGGTTCCTTAACCGAACCTTAGTGAGTTGTGATTAATTTGCGGATTTACTTTATTTTTATTTTTTAAAGTTATTTTTATTAATTTTATTATATGTAAATAAAATTATATATATTTAAATCTAATTAAAGTATTTAATTTAATAACACTAAGTATTTTATAGTCTTAATTATAAATATTTAAATTAAAAAATCATAAAGGGGTATAAATAATAGTAAGTTGATTAATAATATTAAATTTAAAATATTTAAATTTTTTGAAAAATAAAATTTTAACTTTACAATTATTTTGAAATATTATTAAGGAGTTTAAGTCTTTTTTTTTTTATGATGAAATTACTCTTCCAACAACATCTTTCACTAAATTATTTTATTTATATCCTAACATCACATTTTTAATTTTTTTAGTTACATTATCATTTAACTCATGATACTTAATAATTAAATCAAATCTACTTAATTTCTAGAGAAAAGAGAAATTATAATGAGTAAACACTCAAAATAAATTTAAACCCATTTAAGTAACGAAAATGAAGTTGAAGATTATAAATTAATGAAGAAA